GACTATTTGGGTGTTTTGTATAGAATTTATTTTCACTGATTTGAGTTGAATGTGAAATATAGGAAAAAAGGTATATTCGATGGAATTTATTTTCACTGAATCAATCCTTCAGCGAAAATAGCGAATTTCAAAATCAATTCCAAGCGAAAATATAGTATTTTGTATTTTACAGTACTCTAACAATGACCCCGAGTTGCAACGTTTAGTCCGACATACACACGTTAGTTTGCAGACTGACCATGCGAGTTTTTTTTTAATCTGCTACTTATCGATTTGTAATGGGCCCTTCATTAAAAAAATATATGTTACCGTTTTCTCTCACTCATAACCGCTGGTCAGTTGACTAACTTTTCCATAGAAGTGCTAAATTACATTTGCACGTTGGCACTTGGTGGCGCTATTAAACAAAAAAACCCACGCGATGAGCATCTTGCACGAGAGGCTTCGAAATACTTCCAGATAATACCTAATTCAGTAACTTTCTTTTACTGTCCAAACCAAATGCAGACAATATATCCTGGACACAATTCATTAGCTTAAAGCGCCACTGTTGTCTCACCGCGTCATGTTTGTTGTGGGTCCCATGCGACGTTACAACGCGTGTGAAATACGAACATATGCTGCTTCATGTTGACTACCGCAACCATTTACCCAATACGAAACAAATGTCAACATTTCAGAGACCCTGGGAAGAGTTGGTGCACAAACAGTAAAAAAAAAACTCTCAAATATAGTTTACAAGATTTCTTGCCAAATAACCCGATAAGCAAGTTAAAATATATATATATATATATCCACCAGCTTTTCCCTATATTCTAGAATTCCACCCCGCAAAGGCTGTCCAGTATTTCAGTTGATTCACGATCAATTGGTCCCAACTTACTTTCATCCCATTGCCTTTGAACAATGAATAAATTGGGTGCCACCTTTGCTCAGGATCTTGCATGAATGACTGAACAACCGGAAATGTACTTGCATGTTTGACAGATCAAGTCTAATGAGGACATGCTTAGTCAATGTACTAGTATCATCGCATATGCAAACCTATCTGTGGGTCCATAGCTCTTCTTGTGTCGGTCCTTGGCCTTTGTGATGCTATTGGAGTAATTTCTGACCATTTCAATATACCACACAACCGAAACTGTCACCAATCGATAGTATGTTTACTAAACACTCACCAGGGCGAAACCGTTGACAAAAAAGATCTGTTTGAATTTGGTTTCCCGGAATTTAGCTCGCTAAACCCGGTAGTACGCAACTCCAGCCTGAGTGACAGCAATTTCTTGAGGTCGAACGAGGACAAAATTACTCAAATGACGTCACTGTATTAGAACGTCGGGAAGTGGAACAGTGAAAACAAAATGACATGGGTTGTCTCCTACTATTAGTATTTTGCTATGAACTTCGTGGTATTTACTATTGTCTATTTTCCCTGTATCCTAGATGCACGGGAAGATATTTATTTCTACATTTCTCTAATAAAAAAATGGGCAGTATACGCATGCATCTGAAGCTTTACGAGTATCCAACAAGATATCGGGAATACCTTCCCCAGTGACGTCATATTGTCCTCGTTTGGCCTGAAGAAAATGGCTGCCACTGGAGTTACGTGTGGCCCGAGCAATAAATCCTAGGAAAAAACTAATTACTTTTGTCACAGTTTTGGCTTTGGTGAGAGTATTATCGATTGCCGATAGCTTCGATGTTGTGATGCGAGAAAATATCCTCCTCTTGTCGACTTTTATTTGTGATGACATTTGGCGTCGCGTGTCAATAAAAATTCTAGTGTCCACAAATAACCAATTTAATGACTCAGATACCATCACAAAGACTAAATTATGTGTTTGTAACAAGACAACGTGCGTGATGCATGTAAATACCAGGCCCGTAGCCAACACTTTTGAATAGGGGGTTCGAAAACAACAAATAGTTGATGTGAAATGTGTGAATTTTATAATACTCAAAAAGTGTTTTTGAGCTCTGTTACAGAGATTTTTATATTATCGGTTTTAAACTCAATTGGTTTACTTTGTGTTACGTTCGTAAGATATTTCACATAACATCTTTGAACTATTTTACCATTTTAGAGAAGGGGTCCTGAGCCATTCTCCACCTACAGACGAACACATTCACACCATTGACCTACTACGGCAAAATGTTGTACACAAAAAGACAAGACTGCAGTGTACTTATCTTAGCATTATTGTCCAAGTATTTTAAGGTAGAAGGCTACTTGCGAGTTTTTTCGCTCTTCGCAGATGTTAGCGCACATAAAAGTGACACGATTTCATGTCCAAATCTGTCTACAATTATTAATTTTAGTATTAGTCAAGTTTGTATTATGTAATTTTATTTCTGTACAGGGCCTCAGCCTATCGTACAAAATGTAATGGGTAGAAAAGTGCATAGCACGTTTTAAACACAATACAACATCCATGTAAACATATGGTACTAAGTTAAGCTGAATTCATATTTATCTCGTCGCTTGACATCTTTTAAAAGATACAGAGCTAGTTGATATATGGTGTGGCAGTTTGTGTAGCGACGAAGTAAGCCCAGACTATCAGTATTTGCATAATTGCATAGGGTTATTGACAAAAGATCAGCCCTTAGATCATTATAAAATGAAAATATAAAAACAAAGTGAATTTCCTTTTCTACCATGCTAAATTCGAACGTATCACTGCAAAAACTAAAAAAATTATTGATCTAACTGTATTTTTGTGTGTCTGCCTAATTCAACATTATGTTTCTGGCCAAAACAGCATAAACTCGTCAGTATATATTTTAGTCTATAATTGCTTGCCAATAAATCTCCCAGGTTATAATATTACTTTGATTTTTCCAAAAGTACACAGCCTGGATGATTGTGAAATTCTCCAACTTGTTTTTCAAACCAGACAATGCCGAAACCATATTTGAACAGGAGATTTTTATGTGGGTTTCCCAAGCAAGTCTGCCGGTCTTGTCTAATCGTTTAAGCATGGTATAACATGTTTTGGGGTTTCAGTAATTTTAACCAATATGAGATACAACGCTTGAAATGACCACAGCACAATGGCAGCCTTCCACATTCGTCTAACATCGCTACATTGTTTGTACAACTATTAATGCTAAGTACCTGGTAGATATCTGCAAAATTTTATCTGTACCCTCTCGATTTCCGAATTTACGTACCCCCATATCGCTACCATAAGAAATAGTTGGCACAATGATTGCATCAAACAAATTAAATGCACTAACCAATTTTTTTTACAGTATGTAAATATATTTGGTTCACTGTAAATCTGTTTTAGAGGGCGGTAAAATATTATGCATACAGTGGCAGTTTAGCAGCGGTCTCAATAGACTTCAATGACTACAACTCCTTTTATGAACCCACTAAAAATATAGTAAATTTTCTGAGGCATCCAAAAAAAAAAAAACGTGCAAAAAAATATGTTTGCAATTTATGATTCATCGCATAGTTTCAGTGCTGAAGTAACACTGTGGGGTAAATTGTTGGCTGCGAAAAGCTCTTCGACCTATACAACTCGTGATGATAAATCTTCGGTATTTTTTTAAAGGATATGTTCAACCCGTAGCTGTACACTATTGTCCAATAACACAGGCTACACGTACTAATACAATAAGTTGACTACATTTGGCTGATACACTTGGAACAAAACAGTATATATGCCATCATTGACTTGAAGAATACAAAACTAATGAACCAAACTAGGAAAGTATGATTGTGGTGTTGTGTCAATCTCGTTCGATCCCCACACTTTACTGACTGAGCGAAAATTAGCACAAGACAAACGGACCTATTCAGGACCACCACATCATTCAGAGAGTGACTACCATTACATTATTTTTTCAATGTTGTTTTAATATTTAACATCAGGTGCTTGAACGCGATCTTCATTACACCATCGCGGAAAAACCGAATAAAAGCTTGGCTATTTATAACAACCTGTTTGGGTTGGCTGCTGTTGAGCTGAGACGGCATAACTTCACGATTGACATTTAAAGCTAGTTGCCACCTAAATGCTCATTACTATGCGTTACTCATTACATTACTCTGATAGTTACCTCACGGAGTCAAGTGATTTAAACAATGATTATTATTTCAATTAATACTGTTTGTTTTATTATATTCTAATCTACGATCATAAATCTATTCACTTCCAAAATTTAGGGGGTTCGACCGACCCCAAAACTACGGGCCTGAATACAAATGTTCTTTCTGAAAGCGCAACAAGTTTAGTTTGTACGGCATCGACGAATCCACCTTGTGTAGGTTCCCTCAACGGTATTTGTTTGAAACTTTGAGTGGCTCAACGCGCGGTCTTGAGGGCGCCACAACAGCGGTGGAGGAAAGGAGCAATCTACCAATAGCACCACATATACACTATCAAAAAGATGCATGCGCCTGGTAATCGCCCTGATGTATACAGTAGCATACGTAAACCAGAGTTTCCATCCTTAATTGTTATGGTGGGATTTACTGATTCAGTTGGCTTAGGTCCATGACCGAGCACCCCTCCCCAATATTCTTTATCAACCAAGCCATGCATGAGTAATGATAGAGAAAGTCTGACACCACTGTAAGTACGCCTTTTGTCAACATCTCTCACTTTCAGTAGAATCAATACTGACCAAAGGAAGCGAGAGACATGGAACTACCTAAATTGGAGGAACCCCGCCCCCTACCAAAAGCAGGGAAATGGTGCATTATCACTTGGTGTCACCACGTCCATGCCACGACTAAGTGATCGATATCGAGGTCAGTGCTTTGACACGACTGCTGCTTGTGTTGAGCAGTCTTCTGTTTACCAACAAGGAACGGACGTTACATATAACGGCAGCCCCAGTCAAGGCTATGAAAGTGATGAGCTACATAACCAATGACGGAACGAACAAGGTCACTTGCATCAAATCGCAATTTCTGAGGTTAGCATACTCCTGCTCCACAACTATCTTATTATAAATGGAGCTAATTTCTCCATTTTGTTTAGCCAAATAAAGTGGCGAACATGGAGGATTCAGTTTGTTGTAAAGACATGAAAGCCTTGTATCAACAATTAAGGGAACCTGAAGATCAGCACAGACGTTCAGTCACTGCCTTCGAGTTAGAAGCTACAACTTAATTAACTAAATCAAAATAAATAACTTGCACGCCTGAAAGCTTATGCAACACCCTACTGTCCTCGGAGGCTCGGCAATCTCTCGAAAAGTTAGGCACTTCTGGGTCCATAAACAGCACGGAATAATGTAGTATTAGGGCACCCCCTCCCACAACTTGGCCGAAGCATGAAGACTTTCAGCCAAATTCTCCTTTTCCCTCTACTGCAACCTCAGCGTAGGACGAGATCCACTAGCCACCACTAAATCGCCAAGACAATCCGAGTGACTTTGTTCACAAGGCCCATGCGTAGATAATTTGTCATAGTGGCCCTCTCAGTAACAATAGTGTTACTAATTTCTTACATTTTTTTTAGTGTTTCTTAATAAGGGGAACACTGTTGTTCAGAGTTCAATCATCCCAGACACAAATTTTTATTAGAGCACATTCACCAGGATCTAACACCATAAAGCATCCTTCTTGCAAACACTCACTATAATGCACATGATAGAAACGATACAAAAATAAATACACTATTTGTTGTGAACAAAATACGTCCAAAACCATGTGCTGTTATCAAAGAGATACAGAGTGTCAAAGTAAGCTGTTTCTCAACAGATGGAGAATGGATATAATTTTACTATTTTTTTCTTCTTAAAAATTCTAGCAAAAATTTATAAGTTACACTCCGTTGCATTGTAGTGTCTGGGCAAGATGTAGTCTAACCAAAATACTATGCAGGAAGATTTTCTGGTAGATTTTAGTTGAGTAGCCAATCGGAACTCTTGTATGTGTTTTTTTTTAAGCAAGGCACACTGAAACTGTCTAAACATGGATCATACTTTAGTCAGATTGGTAAGAGGTGGCACAAAAATTAAAAAAAATAAACGTATTAGAAGAAACAACAAAATACTAACTTTTATTGAGAATCATCACAGCAGAGAGAATAAGGCCAGCTTTAAAGTACTGAAAACCGCTGTTAGAAAAGTTCACAGTTTGGTAATTTTACGACAGAGAATAAAATCACGCAAGTAAGACTCACTGGACAAAAGAACCCAAGTGAAAATTTTATTAGCTACAAAAATTTGCAGACTAACTTGCCAAAATTTGTCTCAATCGAAAAAAGCGATTCACAGTACCCAACACAATGAATACATAGTCATAAAAAAAAAAAATCTGTACATGGAAGTCACTTCAAATTATTGTGATAAATGAACATTACTTTGTACAAAACGCTTCACAGTAAAAGTTATATAATCTGAACAGTTAATGGTCGTAATGATGAATGGCCTAAGATACTGATGGCTGTAACATCAGCCTTAACATTTATTGTATACATGTATTACAATAATTTATTAGTGTTTGCATAGCTTGCTGCTAAATCTAAAGCAACCAGAAACAATAAATCAGGGATTTTGCTAAGTCTTGGATTAGGCGGACAAGTTTAGAATGTCAAAATGTTACATTTTTTTTTGCAAGGTTGCAAGTTAAATATAGAAAGTAGTCAACTGAACAAGCCCATTAGACAGCTATTAAGCTGACAGCCACCTCCTTAACGAAAACCCTGTGAATAATACTGGTAATGTAACTACATGCAATCATTGCTATTAAAACTAAGTAAGCTGTAGTTAACAGATTTTACTTTAAGCTGGTGGCATTAAAATGCCATATTACAGCAAATGACGTTAAAAATATAGGTTTGACCAAGAATTGTCTAACATTTTAATTCAACACTATTTTTGGGTTATAATAAATGCAAATAATCCAGTATCTCACACTGTAAATCTGACAACAAAATGTCACGACTGAGAAGAAAAGAAAAAAAAGAGTAAAGGAAAGTTGTAGAAAAAAAATAACATCTTATAGTATTTATACAACATGCAGTTTATTGTGTGTTTTACAGTCTGATTTGCACTCTATAAAGGCATGCTACGTGTACGTCTGTCTGTATGTATGTATGTATGTATGTAAATACAGTATCTGCATTTAAGGTCTTACTTATCGAAGTCAACAATCCTTTATTTATACAAAGAATTTAAGGTTCATTATAAAATATACAAATGTCTGGTAGCTAGCCTTAGAACACTAAAGGAACTTGTAATTACCCGGACTCACCCTTCCCAGTTACATTTACAACCCCGCCCTGTCTCCCAAGCTAAATGTCTTGTTTTGAATACATCTTCCGTCAAGATGGAGAAGCATAAGATGGATGGATCAGTATTCATCTTGTTCACCTTCTATTATTCCGTCTTCATCTTCAGGAGCAGCAAAACCATCCTAAATACAAAAAATATATCAGTCATACAATTCTACTACCTCATTTCAAAGGTTGTTGTAATCAGTAAAGTGCAAATACATTTTTTTCCCCAAAGATGCCCCTCTCCTAGGACTACACATTCAAGTTTATTGCGATTTATGTAACAAATTAAAAAATTTAAAGGTATGAATAGGCAGGAATACATTTCCAGAACATTAAAATTGCAATAATTTGGGGCATATCCAAACATTGGAAATCAGTTTTCTTCACATTTGATTTGTTATGGACATTTTTTTGTTCATTCTTTTGCGAAAAATTGAAACAAAATTGCTCTTAGGAATGACTGCATTTCAATTCAGATAACTGATGTTCCTTCAAATATACCACAACATACAGTAGATCATAGCCTGGAAAAAGCAAAAGATTGGAAAGAATCAATTCAAAGTTAAACCTCAAACAGGTATAGCACTTTCTACATAGCAGTTTGAGCAACATCATGGACAAACTGCAAAACCCTGATACAAAAATTAAAATTGCATAAATTTCTTCAAAATAAATAATATGCATAGTTACATCACTGGAACACACAAATATATAAATAATCATGCAAAAAAAAGAAGAGAGTATAGAAATCTCAACATGCAATTTGAAAGATGGAGACCAAGAATGAAAAGAAAATTTATGAAATGGTCAGAATGGAAATATCCATTAATACATTTACCTAAGATGAGAAAAGAGATTACCGGAAGGGTAGGAAAAAAAAATTATAACACCAGGGAACTGAAATAAAAATCCAGCAAATTATCATGCATTACAGAGCTACATACTATGTTGACTTGTGATGCAGCAAGCTGAATGTAAAATGCTCATTTGTAGACACAGGGTTCCAACAGGCTTATCAGACATTTTTGTTGAAATTTCCAGAGTCCAAATCAATATGCATTTCGACCTGTTACTAATTGCAACAGATAGTATGTTCAGAGGGAAGAGCTGTTACCATGAAGAATTTCTGTTTGCAATTAGTGACAAGGCTAGGTGGGATTTGACACCAAACTGAACTACAAGTCTGATCTGAGAATTAATTCTGAATCAACTGGTGATATGACCCTTTTGTCTGATCAAAGAAATTTGGCTTCAGGACTTTATTTTAAAACCAAAACGATTTTATGAAATAGACAAAAGATTACTTGCGAGTTCAAATACAATTGTTGAAACCCTGGAGGCAATATTCAGCATTGCATCGCAAGTAAAGTAACTGACATAAAAACCACACAACAGGTCACAGACAACACAAAATACAGTACACTGCAGAGCTGATGGCCATTAATAACATTCACTATTTAATATCTATAAATACTATTCACTATCCCATATATATCTAACCAAATTTAGGATTACCATTCAAAATCTAACAGACTGAAGCCACTACTGACAGATCAACAAATTGTTTTCTAATTATCAAGACACAAGCTCAATGACTACTGCATGTTCTCTGCTTACATGTGCTTGTCACAAGTTGTGTCCAGGAACTCCAGGTTATATTTATTTTTAGAGACATACGAGTGGGCCGCAATACCATAATAACCCTCAAATAATAGCCACACTTACTTAATATTAAAGTGCCACCAGTGTCCTGACATGTGAGACTGCATCAGTACATATTTTTTTTTAGCTTCGCTATTCACTTTGTCAACAAAGTGGAGCTGTTCGTATTACTGATTGTCCAGTGTCAACGTCAACTATTTTTGACTTCTTGAAAACAGCCTGATTACTTTAATATTTTATATGTGGACATTTCGAGTGGACCTCTGACAGATTTGTTCATTTTGCGACAATAAGTTTATTTTTAGTACAAATTTTAGATTTATATTTTAACTTGGTATGGTCTGATTAAGTACAACAATACAAAAAAGAATTAAGAACAGATGGATGGATGGATGGATGTCCGATAACATAGCTGACGTGTTAGCAAGCCAAATATGTGATGAAAATTACAACATGCAAGACTTTACTACAAGAATGTAACACCTGTAATAAATTTAGAAGTCAGCTTGTTCAGGATCACCCTCAAGATCTTCCGAAGCATTAGTGCCCTCTGGAGGTACTGCAAATCCATCCTGATAAAAAGTAGAAGAAAGGACAGAATATAGTGGAGGGCAGGCATGTGGGCAGAAAAACCACCACCGATGAATCGAGCGTTATTTCACACAATGAATCAATGAAACGTGTACACTTTGAAATGCTAACATTTTTTTTTTTTTACTCAAAGCGGCAGCAAAATAATTATTGGTAAATGTATACTGAGTCATCTGCATACACTGTATGTATGCGATCCTCTGGATAAATGCATTAATAGGCCTATACATGAAAGCAACATGCATTTTTGGATCATCATTACAGTACAGTAAAGCACTATAGAAGAGTTGCAAGTTGACACAGGACATGGCAGTGAGAAAGATGATGGCTGACAAGAATACTAACTGTCACAAGTTACATGTATGTTTCACTCTCTACACAGCATGGAAACAAGCACTGTCACTACCATATTGTTTTGTACGCCTAAAGAGCAACATTGTCATTTTGCTGCAGACTGGTTTGTGATGCACATCTCAGGATTATTACATGATTTAAACATTTTGGGTGAAAGCAACATCAAAAGGAAATGTCAAATTAATACTGGGAGAGACCTGAAAGATAAATTTCCCTTTCAATTTGCGCTTCTAATTGTCATATAGCAAATGGCAAAATATCAAAAATTAAACAATAGTTATGTAATGACTTAGTCTTGCACATCAGAACACCGTCACTGGTCAGACATACAAATCAAAATGCTGGATGGTGCCCACGTGTTCAAATTATCTTAGTTCATTTAAATATGTTAATGACAGGTCACAGACTTCATGGTCAACATGAAAGATATTTACCGATAATGTAGTGCAATCTTTTGGCTTTGAATTCCATGGGAAAACGACATGACTTTTTTTTAAATCAAGAAATTAGTTGTTTTCGAAAGATAAACTGAGCATTGAAAAAAAATTTAACAGTTTTTCGGTGATAACAGCTCATTGTCGAAAACTTGCGACACACTGACGTATTCATAAGGAATATTGACAAAAGTTGTCGCACGAACAAAGCAGTTTCACTGCGCGTTTGACGTCCTAACACTACTGAACAATAAAGAGGTGTGAATATTTTTAGGCACGTTGTCGAAACAAATGAATAGGATTAGGAACAATGTACCAGCTGGTTGAAAGGCAGTCATGGTCTTGTTGAATTGGGGGTGAGGTTAGTAATAGGTACTTTTCATATTTTCAATTTTTCTTGAGAACTCTTTAAAGTGCCTGTGCAATGCCCACCCTCACGTTTCCCATTTTTGATCTGTGTCCCACTGAAATGGGCAGTTATTGATTTTTTTGCTGAAAATGATTACCCGTATCCAAGTTAATTTGGGATATTTCTCGTGTTGTAGCCACGCCCACTTATCCTGAAACTGTCGACTGTTTCCAGATTTTCGACTCTCTCCGAAAATGCGCCACCAAATGCCAAAAAGTCATACCCCTGAGCCGTAATAACACTGGTCGTTCAGTATACTTTTAAACGATATACATTTTTCGGTCAGCGTTTTTTTCTTTCTTATTTTATTTTTTTCGAGAGAGAGTTTTTAGATGTTGATTTATGGGCAGTTGCAGTGAAACGTATAGTCATAGTGTAAGTATTCACACGTTTCTAATCGATCCGAAAGTGCGACATCAGTGGACGAAAGCCACTTAACCTCAGCTTCTTTTTTTGTGGAAAAACTGTCCTCGTCCATGAAAAAAACCAACTAGGTTTAAAGAGAAACGCCGACAACATAAACCTGGCGCAACACTTTTGAAAGAAATAGAATCCGGACCATGATCACCGAGGCAGATTTCAGAAGAGAGAGAAGAGAGACGGCAAGTGTTTCAAATGAGTTGACTTTTTTTGCGATCCTGATTATCGTTTTATAGAGACCATTTCGTCCCTGTTAAGTAAAGAGTAGCAATAATTTTGACAGTGACATGAAAACGAAGCGTCGGACGAACAGGAAATTACACAGCCCTTACACACTGCTAATTGTTTTCATTTTCGAAGGCTAAAAGTTTCTGAATTGTTTGGTGATTGGTGTTGAATGTCAATTACACCTTTGTTCTTTTTTTACCTCCATGCTTGCAGCTTGATCTGCATAAATACTTTATGAAATAAGAATCCGGGCTTGGTCTATGTGTTTCCACCAAATAAAGTTTTAATATGATGTTATAATTATGACAATCACGTCATGGATCACGCTAACTCGAATCCACTCTGAATTTATCTGTATGTGTGTCGATCTCAATTATTTTTGTTATCCAATTAAACACCGCTTTTAACGCACTTGCCCTCGTCGTGACCCGACGCGTTCACCTATTTCAACAAAATTTCAATTTATTTCCACGCGGCTGTCATTTATTTAGTAACTGTGATTTGTCATTTTTTTAATTATTTTATAGTGATCACTATATTCTAATGTTTAGAATGTCAAAATATGTTCTCTTTTATTTTAATTTTGAAAGTTTTACTCAGACGATCGATGAAATAAAACAGTGTATGACGTGCCTAGTAACCTATTTTGTCCAGCGACAGTGGACAGTGTACAAACGTGCGCCGGTGACGATCACGGTGACCAGCTACACCAGAACGGACATATTTCGCATCTAACTCAACCCCATGCAACAAAAATTGACTATGTGTTCATTATGGTCCATTCCTCCTCGACGAACAAGTACATAAGTGAAAATTTAGTCAAAGA